GGCGAAGGGCTCGGCCCGTGGTTGAGGGAGCTGGGTCTCGGCCGCCCGCTGCTGCGGGCTTTCCCGCCATTGGGCTGGAGGCATGCGGGGAACGTTTGTCCACAGGCGCCAGGCGCTGCGCCAGGCGCTTTGCGGTTTTGCTTTGTCTTAGGCTTTTTTTTTTTTTTTCCTGTTTGAGCCTTCTCGCCCCCGTCTTGCCTTAGTTGTGGCCTTGTTATGTTAGAACTGCAGCGATGGTATGGTTTTCTTTAAGGCTGATACGTTGTGCAGGTCAGGACTTTGGCGTAGTCTCGATGTACTTTAAATAAAGAATGAGCTTAATTTGGAATGTTGGCCAAAGCTAACCTTGAAGTTAATATTTTGATATATTAAGTAAATTTCTTGAAACATTTGGCAGGATTTAGACGGACAGAGTTCTTGGATTATCATTGAGGACAAAAAGTAACTGAAAGACTTTCACATTCATCAATACAACTTCATCTCAAGAGAGTGTTTATCAGTGCTTTGTTCCACTTTATAGTACTTCACATTATACAGTATTTCAAATAAATTAACTGAAGGCAGTACTATGTAGTTGTTTTAGTCTGAAAATTCTTATTTTTAATTTTCTTTATACCTCATATCTCTTAATTGACATCTTGCTCAAGAAAATTTGCTTGTACTTTTGAGGAATGAAGTAATTTGAGTGGTATGGAAGTGACTGTTACAGTCTGATGTTATGTTAATAACAACCTTACGCTTTCACTAGGTCATTCGCAGAATCAAAATGGTTGAAGCAGATCGTCCTGGGAAACTGTTCATTGGGGGCCTGAACACAGAGACTAATGAAAAAGCCCTCGAGGCTGTATTTGGCAAATATGGACGCATTGTGGAAGGTAAAAAATTTTCTATTTTAAGATAACAAAAAGTAAAAACGACATAGCTGTGATGACGTTTTTGGCATTGATCATCTGAAATGATGGTGCTTTCATGTCCTCTAAGAAGTTCTGAGCTTAAAAGGTTAAATAAGGTTAAGTGTTGCTACTTAATTATGGGAAAGGGTAACTTGGCTTTATTTCTGCAGTCCTTTTGATGAAAGATCGTGAAACCAACAAATCCAGAGGATTTGCGTTTGTCACGTTTGAGAGTCCAGCAGATGCGAAAGATGCTGCCAGAGATATGAATGGAAAGGTAGGAATTAAGACCAATTATATATTGCCATTGCTACTGACCAGCAGTATTGATTTTTGAGGTAAATTAACTAGTAATAAAATTTACGAAGACAGTGGGTTAGAAGACCCTGGAGACAAGTCATAACTTTAAATTTGGCAAAATGTCTTTGTTAAGCTGGAATCACTTTCTCCTGGTTATGGATTTGACAGTAGAAAGTGAAGACTGGCTGGCAGAGTTATAATCTTTTTATTTAGTAGATGATGGAGGGCTTTTTAGTAGTCATCTCTTCGTTCTTGCATGTCTCCTATAATGTTTTTGTTTTATCATGTTTGAAAGCAGTACTGTGTAAGTGACGCTTCAGGGAAGTGGCTTACCTGACAACTATTAGTGGTTCCCTTAACATGGGTTTAATGGACTTCCCTACTGTGCTGAAGTGTTGATGTGCTATCTGGTAATCTGTAGATAACCTCCTACATTTGTGAGTTGCATCAGCAGTCTACTTGGCATGTATAAGGACTGTCTTGAGGGTTAATGTGAAATAACTTTGAAGTGAGCCAGCAGTTGAATTTGCTTGTTTATGCCCTACAATGCAATGATCTGACTTTAAGAAGAAATAAAAATTTAATGCATATGTAATGTCTTTAAAAAGAAAAACCTAGGACTTTGAAGGAGATAAAGATAAATACAAGGATAGTTTAAATAATTGTAGGCTATTGTGATCTGAGTCTGGTCTGACATGTGTTTTGAAAAGCTAGGTGCAAGTTTGCAAGCAACTTAATGGTCAAGAGCTGCTCATCTTCAGAGAGGTGCTGTCTCTTTAGGCAGTGAAAACAGTCTTCTCAGTTAACTTGAATTTCAGACTCTGCTCTTTGTGCATAATCCGAATAGTTGTGTTAAGGTCACGCTGCATTGGCCTTTTTTTAAGCAGTGTCTCCGAGATGCTATTCACGTAAGGTGAAGTCTACTCATTCTGATTGGTTAATGCTTGGGATTTTGATAGCTGTTTGTCTTGTTAGCGTAAGACATTGAAGTGGAAGAAAAGTCATTGCAGTCAGTAAATCATAATAAATACTTTGGGAATAAGAGAAATGAGCTTGCTGTAGTGTTCTGGGTGCTTCAGGACAACCTCATGACATTTAGTGATACTTCTTTGGAGATTTGTTTACTTTTTAAACAAGTTCGTAGTCTTTGTCAAGGCAGGGAGTGACAAGTCAGATAATGTCCTTTCTGTACTAGCCTAAACATCCTTAGAGAGGTGCTCCTTTTATTGAACTTACTCATTGTGTAGTTTGCTACAGTTCTGAAGTATTGTTCACTGCAGTTCTTAAACATTGATTTCCTCTGAAGTAGTCATTACACTGCACCCTCATAAGGTAACTTCAAGCACCAGTGACTAGTTGTCAGACTGAAAGATCAGTCACTAATCCGAAGTGTTTGTGGAGTGCTGCTTTCAAATGAAAATACCTCTGAAAATAATCACCAGCTGTTGTAAATCTTGAATGTTGTGGCATGTGTTTGGTCACATTGGAAATGTTCAGGAAAGTAATGGTTAGTGAGGTAGCTAAGTGAGATTGAATGTGGCTGAGGTAATGTCTACGTGTTCTGGAACGCACAGTGTGCATCATGGTCAAGAAATGCTAGAAAGTACTGCCTTGTGGATCATCATTCTCAAGTTTTCTGTCTTCAACACTACAAATCTGAAAGTATCTTCATCGGCTTTGAAATTTAAACAGCAAATAGCATATGAAAAGAACTTCCTCACTTGGGATTTGGCCTAGAATGACCTTTTTAATACAAACCTTTAGGTGCTGCTGTGTATAGTTCCAGTACTGGTCTAGCTTTATTGGACCATGGATATGGAAGATGTGGAAGAGGTTCATGAAGTAGTCTCTCGTCCTCATCTTCATAAAGTCTTCTGGACAGGAAGTACTGCTTGTACCTCAAAGACTGCATTCTAGATCTGAGGAGGAGTGATGCTTGAGCCACCCTGTGGGAAGAGATCATTGTAATAAACCGTAACTTGGAGTTTTTTGTCCATTTTGAAATGACTAATTGGAATGCTCATGAGAGTTTCAGGCACTTAAGAAGCAGCAGCATAAGCACTGTGCAGCCAGACGATAGTTCAACCAGTCTGTAAGGAGTTGACCTCTAGTCAGGGGGAAGAGTTCTACATCACCAGTGGGTTGAATTTATTCAGAATGACAGAATAAGCAAGTTGCAGCCAGTAGAAGAGGCTGACTTAGATTCTGCAAGAGTGATTTTGTATTTGATTTTTTGCTTTGCAAATGTTGATTAAAAAATTTTATCCAGTGTCTCATTCCTTTCTGTCTGGGAAGGAAGAGGGTTAATTATACTTCATTCTAAAATGGGACAAGCATAGACTAGTCTAAGCTTGCTTGTTGATTGTTGAAGATTAATTTCAGTCCTGCAGAAAGAGGTCAGCAGATGATGATTTTGGAGTGGGAGTGGAGGCTTTTCACTTAAATTACTTTCTCTGCGGAATTGGATCAATGTTAGCATGTCTGAGCAAGCACAGAAGAAAGGTTAGAAAGTACTTTAGCATAGCAAGTTACTAACCTTTAAGAGCAGCTTTAATTTATGGTGGTCAAGTCTATGTCCTGGTGTCATGAAATGCACGTGATTATCTGGACACGTGTGAATACTCCAAGTCAGTAAAGGTCATTCTGTGCAGTAGATCGTTCTCATGATATTTTGATTTTTAAGTCCTGAAGACAAAATGGATAATTGGAGGATGTGACCTTAGAAGAAACATCCAGGACAAGCCAAAGATTTAATTCCAGTGTAGAAGACCTGCCAAGCCACTGGACTGTTAGGAGGTTGCAAGAAAACACTACAATCCACACAGCAGTCTAAACTGTACTCAGCACTACAGAAGGTTGTCTTCCTCTAATCAACAGGAAGTGTTTCCAATTATTTTGATGAAGAAGCAATACAATATGTAGACGCTCAGCCTGATAATAAATGATCTTCAGTTCTTGAATTTATTGGGTTAAAGGAGGCCTACTTGATGTGCCATCAAGGAACGTGCAGAAATGGTGGAATCACTACAGCATCAACAGTAAAATGATCCATTGGAGAGGAAAGCCCTGTGTGGTGTTAGGCTGCAGTTTCATGCAAGTTTCTGTAATGGTTTCTTTGGAATACCCGATTTCTGCCCCACTCACAAAACTTCCCAAATTTCATTCATCTTTTCTGTTGGAATGTTGTACAGTTTGCAGGACAGTTCTCTAATTCTGTTTGGTCAAGGTTCCCTTTCTCACCTTACAAAGCTGTATAGATTGTTCATTCCATATATAGGAATTTTTATGATTGCCAATCTATTATCCTTAAATGACTCATATCATAAATTACTTTCCTGCTTTTTAGCACCAAGGTGACTCCACTTTATGGTGCCCATACCATACTAAAAATGCTATTGTAACTCTCTGAATCAAGGTTACAAACACCAACTGTGACAGCCGGTGCTCTGGGCTTGTGGAAAAAAAAAAATTCCTTATGCTGAGATGCCTTGTGTGTTTTATCTGTTCAGTGAGATGAGACTCTCTTCTTTGAGCTAAGAACCTATAAAATGGAGTTGTCCCCTCTGCTTTAAAATAGGACAAACTTTGACAAATACCTTCTTGCTAACAAAGAAAAATAATAATCTTCCTGGACCTCAATGAAAGGTCTTTTTGGATCCTAGGCATAGCTTTTTAAGACTGCTTGCATAAAGCAGTTTCAAATGAAAACTATCTTTTGCCTAGGTAAGACACATAAGTGCAAGGCAGAAGGAAATAGGAGGAGAAATTATAAAGACAACTGTACCTCCTGTATAAAAAAGAAGAGAACTTGGACCTAGCATCCATGTTTTCAGAACCCGTGCTAGCAGAAGGGGATGATGTTTGGTTTCCAAACTTCAAACTGTCAAAAATCTGCTATGAATTTGAGGACAGCAGTGGTCATGATGGCAAAGCTTAAAGCTTCAAGCCCACTGTTCCTGTTTTAAGAAGGATGACTGAGACGGATGATGATGACAAAAGAATACTGTACAAACTGAGAAGTTCCAGTGATTAGAGGTACTGACACTCGCTTCTGGAATGTTTCAGCTTGTGATGCCAAAAGGCTTTTTGAGAAACCTTCCATAACTAAAATATTTTTACTGAGTCAAAGTCAAGACCAATATGATGTTGCTAGTATTTTAATTTTTTTTTTCCTCACAATGGATCAAGTTGGACCTGTGGGTATACTGTCAGCAGCTCAGAGCAAGTGACTAGCAGTCATATTCTTGTTTACTTATTGCTGCAAAGAAGTGTAATAAACAACACTTCCTACCTGTATAATTAATGAGCTGTCATACCAGAGTTAAATATTTAACTGCAAAAAAAGGCAACTTAAACCATTTTTGCCATGAGAGATGTGCAGTAACCTAACTTCAGCAGAGCTTGTGATCTTGGCTCTGCTACAATTACCAGAAGTGTGGTGTCTGAAAGTTTACACAGAAATTTGATTAATTAGTTGATTTACTCAATATGTCTTGCCACCTGCTCATGTTTGAGGTATAATAGTTGGCTGCAGAGTTCCTGTTACTGCAGGTCTATATTCCAGAAAAAGCTTTACACTTTTTTCTACAAAAAACCCACCAACCTACACAACAAAACCCCCAAACAAAGAAAAAAAACCCAAACCACAAAGCACGTTCACTCTGGAAAAGCAAGTAATAGAGTAAATTGTAACAGTCACCTTTTTTGAAAACCCAACTTGAAATGGTAGAAAAGAGGGGTGAATTATCATACTTGGTCTGCTTTGTAGATGCTGAAATTACTTCTAAATACTTCAGTGATCACCGTTTTATCAGGACATCAAGAAAATGTACTAAACGGCCTCCCCATTGCCAGAAATCCCAACTGAAGCTAAGATACCTTCAGCTTAATCCTGTAACTACTGGTGCAGTCCTGGTTTGGTACAAAAGTCCGTGGCAATTGAAAATAAATTGGAGATCATAAATCATGTTTCATTTACAGAATAAATGACATGGGGCTGCCGTAATCATTGGACACTTGTGTTTTCACTGAAAGTCCTTTCTGATGCTGCTCTGTATTTTTTTTCATCAATACCACAAGAATGAAGTACTGTAGAAATTAGGCCCAACATGCTGCTGAGTACATGGGGACTAATACTGAAGACTGAAATCTGTTCTAGACTTGCTCTAACTTTATAAAATGGAAGCCCTGTAATAGTGAAGCAAGAGGGGCTTAATTTAAGAAATACAAACATGACTGAGCAGTAAGTAAAGCAGCTTCTTCTTTAGTCATTAGATGGGAAAGCAATTAAAGTGGAACAAGCAACCAAGCCATCCTTTGAAAGTGGTGGTAGGCGTGGACCGCCACCCCCTCCACGAAGCAGAGGTCCTCCCAGGGGCCTTAGAGGTGCAAGAGGCGGAAGTGGCGCGAGAGGACCACCTTCAAGAGGGAGTCACTTGGGTATGTATTTACCTCTCTCATTATATACTTGGACAACATACAAGAATCCCATTGGAAGATGACAGTAATCCTACTGGAAAAAAAAAAGTCAAACAGCTGAATAGTGCACTCCTTTATTAAAATGATGAAATATGATCTCAGCAGTTTAGTCAAATTTTTGATTAGGCAAGTACACCTTAAGAAAAGGCTTTCAAATATGAAGATTCCCTTCTACAACTAACACTTCACTTGACTTTTGGCTATGAAAGAAAAGCAAAACTCCTGCCCTGCACGTGAGAAAGGAAGCTTTCTGGTATTCAAGTTGAAAAAGTGATTCTCTTACACCAGGGAAAGGGAACTGCCTTTCATTCTTACTAGCAAGTGGTCTAAACTTAGTAAATTCTGGATCCTTCCAAGTCATAGTGGGAGTTAGGAAAACTGAGCCTTATTTATTGTTACAAAACAGTAGTGTGTTGAGTTGAAGCTTTCTGAAGTAGAATGATAGTACATTAATACTGGATATTCTTTAACTTAAGATACTGGAAAGTCTCTGAATAAATAGCTGTATCAAAACTGTTGCTTAAATAAAAAAGCAAGTAGCACCTGAGGTAAAACAGTAAAGTTGTAATGCCAAAAAACCCCTGGAAATAGTGAAAACTCCTGTCTTGAAGAGTCTGTAGTAGGCTCTACAGACTCTGTAGTGCCTCTGTTCCCTCTCTATGTAGGATCTTCTCTAGTACATCTTCCCAGGTGGCTCTTGTCTTCTGAGAACAGTAACTTGTTGAGCATTTAAGCTGTGACTGATAACAGATACCAGCTCTCTTTTGCCCTTGTGTCACCACACCCTGTGGCTTTTGGATAAGTTCTGAAAGACAGTTCTTGACAGGAATTGAAGCTGTCTAAAGCTAACTTGGGCTCACAGTTCTACCAGTAGCATCTAATAGGGGCCAAAACACAAGAGAAGGCTTTGAGGTCTAATTTTAAGAGGTTTACGGTTGATCACATAGCAGTAATAACAGTGCCTAGGTTATTGTAGTTCAGGCTTTAGGGGCATATCAGTGAATATCACAGAAATAATAAGTTGGTTCATGGCTTATCCTTCTAGGATCTTCTCGAGGGCCACTTCCCATGAAGAGAGGTCCACCTCCACGAAGTGGAGGCCCTCCACCTAAAAGATCTGCACCTTCAGGACCAGTGCGTAGCAGCAGTATGGGAGGCAGAGGTAAGGACTTCCTGAATTTGTTGCTTGGTCAGCTCTGTAGCACCTTATTCTTTCTTCAGGAATTGTTGCACATCGTTAATTATAACTTAGATATGCTGTGGAACGGCGTGTTGTTTTTCTAATCTGTTGGTTCTCTTCATAACAATATAATTTTGTAGCAATTTGGAACAGTTTGATGTGATTTGATATGTTCCTTCTAGAGCCGCTTTAAAACTCTACAAGCGTAAATGTAGGCTACAGAGATAGCTTTAAATTGCTATAAAGAGTGTTAATATGTGCCTTGGAGTCTTCTGTGTGGCTAAATGCTAATTAAAAAAATTTGGGCTGTTTCTCTTAAGCTCCTGTGTCACGTGGAAGAGACAGTTACGGTGGTCCTCCACGCAGAGAACCAATGCCATCACGAAGAGATGTCTACATGTCTCCAAGAGATGATGGCTATAGCACTAAAGACGGGTAAATTCTCTCACTAATTTAATTTGTCTTTTTTTGTTCAGAGAGAGATTTTGATTCCTGATCTTTTGAGGTGTGACATATGGCTAACATATCAATTCTTTTCTCTGTAGTTACTCAAGCAGAGATTATCCCAGTTCCAGGGATACACGGGACTATGCGCCACCTCCACGAGACTACGCATATCGTGATTACGGTCATTCCAGTTCACGTGACGAATACCCCTCTAGGGGATATAGGTACCTACTGTTGGATTTTTCTCCCTGTCATTTTATTGTTGCTGTGATCTCACTGATTTGTACTAAGTCTTAGTAGTCTTTCCTCCTATAGTGATCGTGATGGATACGGTGGTGGACGTGACAGAGACTACTCGGATCATCCAAGTGGAGGCTCCTACAGAGATTCATATGAGAGTTATGGTAAGAATCCATTTTGAGGATCATGTAGTAATCTGTACAAGTGTCATAAAACCTGACTTTTACTAGGTTGCTCATGTTTTAGGGGGAAGTGGCACGCTTTTTTCCCCTACAGTGAATGTGCAGTTGTTATCATTTGATCATCTTGTTAAATAAGCTATAAGCTAAAGAAGCAAAGTCTACAGTTCAGAATTGCAACTATCTCTGGAAAATATGGCTGAGTTTCTTCTCTAAAATAACAAGCTGTTCTGGAATACCCAGTAAAGAGCCTGCCTGAATAAACACCGTCTTCATCCCTTCAGAGTCTTTAAATCCACTCACTGCCTGATATGCAATCCCCACTTTTAAATACCATTAATGTGGCAGATTATATTAAGAACATCTCAATACATACAAAAGAGTAGCAGTAAACATTTAAATACAGCAATTCTGTAAATTCAGATTGAAATTGTTATATATAACTTATGGTGTTGCCATATTACCTGACCATTGACCCTGCAGGTAACTCACGTAGTGCTCCACCTGCACGAGGGCCCCCGCCATCTTATGGTGGAAGCAGTCGATATGATGATTACGGCAGCACACGAGATGGATATGGAAGCCGAGAAAGTTACTCAAGCAGCAGAAGTGATGTCTACTCAAGTGGCCGTGATCGTGTTGGAAGACAAGACAGGGGTCTTCCCCCATCCATGGAGAGGGGCTATCCACCTCCTCGTGATTCTTACAGTAGTTCAAGCCGCGGAGCCCCCAGAGGTGGCGGCCGTGGCGGAAGCAGATCCGATAGAGGTGGAGGCAGAAACAGATACTAAAAACACTCTTAAACTTTTGGACCAAGACAGATTACTTCTCAAAACAGAAAAGTGGAAGTTGTTCTATCTTTATTACCAGAGGACTACTAAGAGGAAAAGTTGTTTTTACCTTTTTTTATTGTTGCCTGTTAAGTTTTCTCCTCCATGACTTTTATGCTTTTGTGAGGAAAAGTTAAACCAATGTTTAATTTCATTTCAAAATTGTTAACATTTCTTTCAAAACGCAGATGTTAAATGTATAAAACTTGAGCTGTGTACTAGTGTTGTAATTTTCAAAGTAAAGTTTCCCTAAAATGCCACACTTCCCATCTGATTTTCCTCATGAATGGAACAAGCAGTTCTTAAGATCTTCCACACAACATCCAACCATCTAACATGGAGATGGATTGTTCTACATGTTGAGCATCTCATTCTTAAACAAAGTATTGCTTGTGTTTTGGAGGGTGGTGGGGCTATTCCACACAAAGTTTCAGTTGTGCCTAAAATTTGAAGTCACTTGTTTCCAGTACAAAATGCCATCCGATCCTTGTTTAAAGAAAAATAGAGGATATCATTCACTTAACCCGAAAAAGCAAGTGGATAATACTATTTTCTGCCTTCCTACTGTTTCATGGGGAGTTTGAAAAGATCTCCCGTCAAATAAATCGTGTACATGTAAGTCAGCTACAGAATACTGTAAAAAAAAAAAAATAAATTGACCAATTCCATCAAAGAAGCTGCAAAACGATGCTTACTCATACTGTTTCAAATTTTTGCAACTCTGTAGTGTTTCACTTTTAAAGGAACATCTTTGATTCCAAAGGAGAAAATAAGATAAGCAAAGAAGTCTTTCTCTCCAACTTCTCAAAGGCTTATGGCTTCATAAAAACAAGTGAATCTTTCAGCATTCCACAGCTGATTTAAAGCATCAAATGCCTGTGAAACAGCAAAGATGGTAAGCAAAGCAAACTAGTTTTTCAGTCTAAGTCAAAATTGAACCAAGTTACCTTCCTCTAGTACAGTAAGACAAGCTGCACGTCATGGCAATGGAAGTGCTGTCTAGATATTAAAAAAAAAAAAAGGAAAAGAAATACTGCAGTACATTAGAAGTTCTCCAAATTCAACATTTCTTCTTGGATAAAAGCATTTATGGCACCAATTTTGCAACTAAAGGCATAATGCAGCTTACTGTAGACAGATTATTGCCAAGTAGGGTTGGGAGGGGGTATTTTGTGCCCAGTATCTCAGTGAAGATGCTTAAAGAGGCTGCATATATAATATTTTAAAAAAATTAAAGCCTTGTGAAATCAGGAATTGGTTTAGATTGACAAATAACAGCTCGGCTATTGAGAGTTTGAAGCAAGCCATTGCAAACTTGACGTTTAGTTGGATGCCTGACTTTAGTTTGACACTGCGTTACAGGGATATCTAGTACATGTGGCAGAACCTGTGGCAAGTTGCTATGACTCAGGTAAAGCCATGAAGTTCAAAAGATGCTCTTGAATATAGTAGACATGAAGACCTCCAACTAAAAAAAAAAAAAACCAAACCACAAACCCAAAAGCTTTGTACTACTGTTTAGTCCTCAGTAAATTTTGTCGTCCAACTTATGGATTTAACATGGCAGTGCACCATTGAAAAGGAGTGAGAATCCATAAGCCATGCAACCTATCACTAAGCCATTCCAGTCCATTCCAAGCCAGTGAATCCTCCACCACTTAAGAAGTAGTAAAACTTGCAACAGAATAATCTGCAAACCCAAGCTTGCGACTTTTTTGAAATGGGGGGTAAGCACTGTAGGTTGGCTCATACTGTAAATGTACTTTTCTCAATTTGTTATATCTTCTCTTGATTGCAGGATGATAACTTCTAGCAGAGAACCACTGAAGTAATGCTAGTTCATCTGTGTTGATGACAGAGATGAGTGGTGCCTGTACCAATACATAAGGTAAATATTGTGTTGGTATAATAGCTCTAAGGAAGATTCTGGTGGTTCTGTGTTTATAGATTTGGATGGATATTCTTCATCGCTAAATAATATTTTCAACTTTCTTGTTTGAATTCTGAGGGAGGAGGTTTAAGTAGGCATTTTAAGCCTACCAAGTTAGGGATGACAGTAAGAGACTTCTCATCTGCAGAAATTGGTCCAGTTCGGATATGGCTGCCCATAAAAAAATATGATTATATATGCACTTTAAATCCTGCTGCAGAGTACTTGGTCTAAGAATCTTTGTAAGACCGGACCATAAAAATCTGAATTGGAATAATAAATGTTAGTACAGACATTTAATCAGTCTTGTTAAATGTGCAGAATGTGCAATTTAATGTTTATACTGAGTATAATCTTTAATTAGGAATCAATCTCTGCAGAGGTCCTTGAATTAAATTGTAGACTTCTGGGCCTCTTCAGAATTGTTTAAAACTCTAGGTCAGCTGTGTTTCATGACATTAAAGCCTATGCTATTAAAATTATTTTTCAAGTAGGTGTAGGAATAACTGTCTTTGGACTTTCTGTGGAAGAGTGGCTGATAATTCACCAGGACAAAAAAGAAAGTGGTAGTGGCTGTCATGCTAATACAGCTTTTCAGAAAACTTAATAATTGTTATTTTTGTTGAAAATAACTTTTAACGTGTGCAAAATCTGTTAAAATTCAGTATAGAGTGAAGGGTAAGGACAGCCCTTTTTGAAGGAAAGTAATTATGTAAGAAGCATGTGTACTTTCAATGTAATTTTTAAAAGAGTTTTAAAAGTAATTTGTAAACATAAGAACATGTTTTATTGTTAGTTTAAAATGCTGCTTTTGAGAACTAGCTTTGAAAAGGTGAAAAGAAAAAGCTGCAGTTGGTACAGTGTTGTTCATCTGACACAGTCACTGATTTCAGGGAGTTTCCATCTTGTGTGAAGTGTAGGTTCTGTTGTATACTGCGTGATGTTTGTAGTTTCGGTTGGATTACAGTTTGGTCTTTTCAAGAGTCTCAGCAACAGCAACTAAATAGCTGTGCAGTGCTTTTGCCCAGAATATGCCAGTAATTCTTCGTAAATACTTCTGATAAGTTGCTGCTGTTACCTTAATAAAGAAGAAAAAAAATGCTTTTATTTTGGAGTACTGGATTGTATTTCAGATCAAACACAGAAACATCATGAGTATTTTCTGTTCTAAGTAAAAGGAAGCTTATAGTTAAAGAAAACTGCTACCTGGCCAACTTCTTATTTTTCTGTCACATGATAAGATTTCAACCAACAGGAAGTGTTCCTTTCCTTACCTTTGTGTTCCTCTTAAGCATGACTGTTGAAATACTTAAATCATAAGTCCTGCTGGAAAAGACACTGTTTAAACTATAGGTGTCTCTTTAAAGATTAAAAAACCTAACCTTTTTTAATTAAAAAATCACTGATGTCAGTAGCATGGCACCATAGTGAATTAGGGAAATATGTCTTAAGTTGTTCTCCCTCACGCCACACTGACCTGCAAAAAATCTGCAGGAGTTAGTTCTTAAATTTATAGTTTCATCCTGTCCAGATCATGAATCCTCTAATACTAGAGGTGGAATACAGTCTTTAATATGAAGCATCCTAGGTAACATTAAAAGGTTTTGCCAAATCATTGTATAGGTTGTGTCAGAATGTTTTCAAATTTTTTGATGTGTGTGTGCTTCAATTCACTGTATTAGCTGGGAAGCTGAAGGCTTAATTACTTCTGGCAAGTGAAAAAGCTGCTTCTTTTGGAAAAATTAAATGCCTTTTTCTCAGTTTACTGGATCTGTTTTATCACTTACTGGTGGTAGTGGGCCGTGTTGTAATTAATAAAGCTACTAAAGGTAAAAGCACGCTTTCTCAGCCTACTCTGCAGCTTATAAACATTTCCAAATTCTTAACAGGCATGGTGCCAGTGTTAATTTAGAGAGCAGTGAATGGAACTTAACTCGTGGCAGGAAAGGTAATACGAACTCTGTAAAAAGTACAGATGTAATTCTACTAATTAAGCAAGCTGTTCACCTCCCAAGTTTTGTATAATTTATAGCATATGATTATATAAAGATTGATACCAGTGTGTAGCAGTTTCTTACAGGACTCCTGAGTATCATGCTTGGGATGGTCAAGAGCTAGTGGGATTTTGGGGTAGGCAAAGTTTGGAGGGGGATATGCACAGGAATTACAGAGGCTTTACTTAGGACTTGCTCCAAATACGGTGTTGTACAGGAAGTGTGCATTCATACAGGTAGTCCTTGGATTGTTTTGATTATTGTGGTTAGCTATTGATGTATTTTCATGCTGTTGGGACAAATTGAATGCAATCCAAATGTATGCATTGTGCATGTAAACATGGCCAACTCAAAGGTGATTTAACTTTTTTTGTCTCTTGTTTTCTGAGACTGTACTAACTTGCATTTCCTTTTTTCAGTTATGGTGACTAGAAGAAGGCAGTACAGCAGTGGATATGCGTTGGAAAAACGAAGGATAACAAAATGCAACTTTGATAAAGCTTGGCTTTTGAGTGTGGGGTTACCCACTTTTAGAGGGTTGTAGCATTCATGAGTTGCCTTTGAAAGTAGCACTACTAGTCTGTTGGATAGTCAGTTGCCTCAGCTAGCATCTTCCAAGAGTCAAGAGTGAGCTCTTTTTTTAGTCAGTATACTTGCATCAGTAGATTTTGCAGCAGAAAAGTATTTGGGGGTTGCTCTTTACATAGGGTGCTCTCTGTTTATGCTGAGAAAAAGAACACGTTATATAGGAGTGAGGTTTAGTCCTCTAAAATATAGAGGACTAAATTGTTACAAATTCTTCACTGAGAAACCATGAAAAGTTTTAGTACATTCTTATGTTAATGGTTTTGTAATTGTCCAGGCCTTTTGGATGAGAGGAAGAAGGTGTTGATGTCGGAGATGATACTGGTGATAAATCCCCAGAATAATCGGTGTTCTTGTATGTACTAGCTTTTTGCAAAATTCCAGACAGCAATGCATCTCTTGCAGCAAGATGCTTCTTTCAAAACTTCACCTTGGTTTTGATGGATTTTTATCTTACATGTATGTTGATGTGCCAGTGTATGTGACAGGAATCCTCAGGCACCAGTATTTCATGTAGAAAAGTAACGTCAGATTGACTGAAGTGTTTAAACGGTCACGGCTAATAAAGTTTACACTGACTTCTCTGGTAGACATAAACTGATCTCATTTAAACTCAGTTTATAACAAGTAGTTAAAGAAGCAGCATGCATACCTTGTCTAGGAACTTAAAACTAACTTCGATTTTTGGGGTAAGAATATCACTTCAAACTTCAGTTATGGAGTGCAGATTGTAGAATTAAATTTGCCTGTGTGTAGCAGATGGGTAGAATTGCAGTATTTCCCAGTTCTAATAAATTTACTGTTAAATAAAAGCTTTATGGGTTTGGGTTTTGGTTTTTTTTTAAATTAAAATACCTGTTACTCAATGACACTTGCACGATGGAAAAGATTACTAGTGTTACATCCTGTGGAGGTTTATTGTTACAAAGTGATCTCGGAGAGTGTATCTTCTGCAAGAAAGAATAATATACTGTAATATTAAGAGACTCCGTTTTCAACAGTAGTTTATAGTCTGGGCACTGCTGTTCAGGCTGAGTGAGATTGTCCTGACTAAAACGTAATGCCAACATATGAGCTATCATACAAAAAAATATTGATACCTGCCAAAAAAGCTAAATAATGAGAATCTACTACCCAGTGTAAACTTCATCACTGGAAGTAACTAGTTCAGTGTCAGGTATCAGTAGATTCTGCAGCTGAAAAATATTCCAGCATTGTTATTTGTACTGAGTGTTTTCCCTCTCTGGTGAAAAAACAAGTTACTTAAAAGTAACTTTGAGAAGCACTCTAGAATGTTTTCTGAACATCTGAATGCTGGTCCTAACTTGCTCCTGTTAACATACTGGTATCAACTGATGTATCAGACTCCTTTGATAATTGGGCATAGATCACCCCCAACCTCCATTTTTGTTTGTTTTTTTAAATAATACTGTTCTATATAGCCATCACTGGTGTAAACTAAGCTACAAATAAAAGTGTATTTGTAACCTGGGGGTGGAGATTTACTCTGCAAGAGATGACATGGCAATTAATTTGATATGTCCCTTTTCCAAAGACCAGACCAAAAACTGTTCCTTGCTTGGTGGCTCTACCTGCATACCCTGGCATTGCCACAGAACCAAAATTTTTAGTGCAGGTGAACAAGCTGGAACATTTTTAGATGGGTCTTTTCTGAAAAATATAAGGTTGGTATTCAGGTGGCTAATCAGGAATGCCTTACATTTTGGGGCTTTTTTGAATATGCATTTGTCTCCAAGTCTTCCAAGGAGCTGGTAAATGTCAAAGATGTGGGAATTATTTTTATTTTAACTGTAGTTAGAACCATTAACATCTGCTTGGCTGCAACAGCTTCATATGAAATAGTCATGAAACTAAACCTGCCTATCTACACAAAACCAGGTTTGCTTTAGAGGAGGGAGTGTGTGAAGTGCTCAGAATTCTGTGTTCGGGTTTGTAGCGCTGAGTTTGATGAAGTGTGTGTGTAACTTTACCTGTGTTGAAATATTTCTCTTTTTACATCAGAAACTGGTATGTTCTGATGAGGTGACTGAAGTGGATGTCTTCCATATACAAATTATTGCCCCCATCTAAGGAGCATTAGCAGTTGTCTTGCCTACTACAGATTTGGAAAAGCAAGCTATGAAAGTGGGGACTGCAAGTACTCACTTTACAAAGTATTACTGCTCATGAGAGCTGGAAAAAAGAAAACCATAAAGTTCTTTTAATTAGTCATAAATCTGAAGTGTTTTGCACACATATGGATAGTTGTAGATGTACTTCACCAGATGGCAATGAGTTTTGTGAGTTAGCTTCAGCCAGCTTTATCATTCCCATTGGCTGCAGCTATGTGTTACTAGTATTTCCACACAACAGAGAACGAGAACTCATCCCCATGTCCTCGTAAAGGTCAAGTCTGTAACCTTAAAAAGGTAATTCTAATTTATTACTCGTGGCTGTTAAAAATGATCCTTACGTAGGTCCCAGTACCACTCATAAGGCCTGGAAAGTAGACACAAACCCATGCCTGCTGTCTGTAATTTATCCTTTTGCTCCTCTGTTTCTCCCTACCTTTCAATTACCAGCCTAAGCAGTTTGGGAGCACTGATGTCTTTAAAACAGTTGCTTCAAGGAACAGCGGTAGGAATTGGCTCAGAATATTGTCACCAAGAAATTCTGGTCTCCAGGATAATTTGTTCCTGTTGCTTCAGTCCACGGTGTTCCAACTTCTTTAGCATTATAAACAGAGAATTGCTTCATTTTCCATCTGTTCTGGTGAAAGGACAGTTAAAAAGAAGAAAATGGCAAGATGACTGGACTTAGTTTAGGCGATCAGTAGTGATGGTTACTACTGTCCCAGAGCAGGGTGACAAATGGGTACTACTCCATACAATAGATCCTGAAGAGTTGGTAGAAAAGAACATTTTAATAGGACAAGTAAAATAGTTGGGAAATACCTTTCTCAGCTTTGGAGGACTTAAATTTATTAACTTTTTGAAGTTACCCAAATGTTTATTTTGAGAAGCTATGAGCTTCCAAAAGTTATTT